AACAGGCAATCTTGTTGTTGCACAAGCTGAGCCATCCTGCCACTTGTTGGCAGCTCAGCGACAGATCAGCTCGGGCGCAGCATCATTGGCCCATGTGGGCCCTTTTGCTCAGAGCTCGCACTCTTAAGCCAACTCTTAACTAACTGAGCCACTCGGCCGGTCCGAGAGTAATGGTTTTAGATATGTTTCTGATTATGTAATGGTTTAAGATATGTTACTTTCAAAATGGAAGATATCTCTTGACTTAGTGATTATAAAACAATATATATTCACTATAATTTTTCAAATAATGTATAGCTATGTGAAGTTAAAAAGTAAAAGTTCACCGTGTCCCTACTTCCAGAAGTAACCTTGTTATCTCTTATAGCTCTTTCTACACTTGAATAAATATATACAACCAAAAATTCATAACTAAATCTATAGCTATTTTCAGTCTAAATGGGGTCACATTATACATACTGTTCTTTAACAGGCTACTTTCACTTAATAATACTGAATATATCTTGAATATTTTCCATTCCATAATGAATGATGCTGCAGTGCCTTATATATACTATATGTATGTAGTCTATTATTTCCTTAGGGAAAGCACTAGAAATGGATATGCACATTTAAATGTTTGATACGTATTGCCACAAACAGTTCAGTCAAGTATATAATAATATGAAAATAATCATATGCTTAGTGGATTTATAATCTTACTAAGGAAATAAGATATACATACTCATACAAACAGAATGATATATTAGGGTGTCTGAAAAGTAATGACGTATTTTTTCTGTTTTTCGTTGCAAAAATGCGTCTTGACTTTTCTGACAACCCAATAAAATAGAACATGATTAATTGCAAAAACATATGACACAGAGAAGATGGAATAAAAAGGAGCAGCATGCTGGAGATACGAAGACTTCCCTTAGAGGTGATGGGGCTTAAGCCCTAGCTTACAGAATGAATAGTCCAAGTAGAGAGAATGGCTACTGAGTTTAGGGAAATTCAACTTAAGCCGAGAATCGCAGGCTGTAATGAGCTGGCATGCTTCAGCCCTGTAAAGAGGCTAGCCTGACTGAAAGACCCCGTGTGGGAATTAATACAGGGACCAGATTATGGCTAAATTCTGGGTTGTAAAGCTTGTCCGAGGCCTTCTGGAGAATGGGGAGATGCTATAGGCTTATGGTCTGAGAAATGACCCTCTCTGTGAATGCTATCCTAATGCATGCCGTACTATACACAGATGTGCCATTACAGATGAGAGTCTAGGGCCTAATTCATTTCCAGTCATCTGTAATAAATTGTTGGACTTACAGTTAGGATTTTTGAGAGCAGTTCGTTGAAAACTAGACCTAGGATGTCTTCATTGGATCAGGCAACACACCACTTGGAAATAATTTCAAAACTTTAAAAAATTTTTTTTCTCAGTGTTGTTTAGGTAACAGTTATATTTTCTTTAGACATAAAAGGCTGTTAATGTTATTGTTTTAACTGTTATTTTTATAACAAACAGTTGTGATTTTTTTTCAAGCTTTGTTATGAATATAAATATTACTAAGGCAACCTAACTAGTTTTTTATATAACAGAGCCATTTCCGCTCACCATCTTCATACAGTGTCCACATTGTCTTGGGAATTTTGCTATATTTGTTGCAGTTCTCTAAATACTTTAGCAGAGCTTGCTTCATTTTTGTTTCCAGTTGGCCAGTGGACAGCCTTGAACAAGAGCCCCAGCCCTCTGCACAGCAGACATGGTCCACATTATAATTTAATAGGAGCTACGTGTAGTAACCAGCATTCCATTTTGGCCTAGAGTGGTGAAGAAGTAGGAGATTCAGTGACCTCAGTTAATTTTAAAAGTATTTTGCATACCAGTAGATTTAGAACACACATAGCCCAAAGCAGTTTTATTGATAGAAGCTATTTAATTACAATGACATTCTTTTATTTTTTTTCTTGGTAGAAAACCTGGCAAGAGCAAAGGAATCTGATTTATCAGATACTCTGAGTCCAAGCAAGGAGAAAAGTAGTGACGACACTACAGGTGAGCTTTAACCTAATGTTTACAAATTTGAAGAAGTTATTGTTACTGAGCAATTTAGGTACGTAAGTTCATGTGGGTGGAGATTTCAAAGTTTGTGTTTGGCGGAAAAGCAATGCTTCTGTTTATCAAGGCCCTTTCTTGAATCTTGGATTTGTTGTTGAAACTATCCAAGCACAATAGCAGTATAAATGTCAATTATTTATTTTGATGATAGCTTACTGATAGAGCTGACTATTGTTTGTAATTATCTTTTCCCCCCTAGACGCGCAAATGGATGAGCAAGACCTAAACGAGCCTCTTGCTAAAGTATCCCTATTAAAAGGTATTTTAACATGCTTTTTATGACATTTTAAACCAGGGCATCAGATTTATTTACTCTTTGCCACAAAATCAATTCCATGTATAATGTGAAGTTTTAAGTTTTAGTGAAAAGGTTAAGACAGAGTCTGTAAAGTAGCAGAAACTAAAATTTAAATAAGTGCTGGTGCCAGTGCTTCAAACAAAACTATTTATATCATAAAATAAATTGTATCAATCAAGTTTATGAAAGGTAAAGCAGTAGGTGGTAGAACTATTAAATGTAGCTGTGGATTTTTTGTGTTGACCTTGATATGTGTCTGATAGAAACTCATTACCATTTTTAACAAATTAGAAAACGATGAAAATACTAACTTTCTTGAAAGAACCACCTGTTTGCTCTGTCATCATATGGTAACAGTTGTAAACTTCTTCATTTCATGGTCCTCATCCGCCAATAAATATACCTAGGTTCTTAGGATACTCTTCTAGAAATTTTGGGTGGGGCTAAAACAGTGCATATAATGAATTCTTTTACTTGTCTCACTTCTAAATAAGAAGTACACTTATTTCTTGGTGTTTATTTGTTTATAACGAAATGGGTAGGAAATAAATCAGCATTTAAAGTGTTTTTAAAATAAAATGCCTTAGGGTGGCTTATTGATAAATCTGTGGTTGTCCGCATTTAGTCTCTTTTTTTTTTTTTAAGATTTTATTGGGGAATTGGGGGAGGGGAACAGACAAGTTGCTGTCCTTTTGTTCTTCAGTCTAGTTGTGGAGGA